TTTTTGGGGAAAAATCGCCATTTTCGGGAAGCAAACGCAAGAAACTACCCGCGAATTTGCCTGTGAACTCAATTTAATCGTTTTAATAGTTTTGAAATTTGAAATTCGAATAAAATCATTGAATTCAGCATCCTATATCCAGTCCAATCGATTTCTGCCGTGCTATATTCAAAGGGCGCAGGAAGAGGCGCTGTACCGTTTCCCGTGGCCTGGGTAAAAAAGCATCAAGCAGATCAGATGAATGCACTTGCCATTAATGGAGCCATTCGAAGAGGAGTGCCGTCGACACAGCGGCACGGGTAGGTGAACATCTTCTGCGGACGTAGCCGAACGTATGCTTAACGATGAACGACACGAGGTACCCGAATAGGTACGATGCCTACGAGGATAGGAGGTTTGACCTGAAATTCCCGAAAAAATTTCCCAAGTAAGACTGAAATTCCCACTAAAAACCTGAAATTTCCCAAAAATATTTTTAAAAAATCAAAAAATAATTTCAAAATTTAAAAAAATTCACGTCAAGAGAATCCAACTGACCAGTGGTCGGGTCATCCTCACACTTCAAAAAATCCGTATAGACAATAGGTGTACTAAATATTCTGCCCAACACAACAATTGCCGTCAGAAGGGTGGATATACCACAGCAAACAGCAAAAACTGAAAATTTTTTTAAACCTGAATTTAATTTTTTTAGATGAAAAATTTAGAGAAAACCTGAATTATGAATTTTTCGCCAAAAAAATTTAAAAACGAACCAGTTGGTACCACAAAAAATAGCGATAAAAGGAATTTTTTCCGATGTTGTTGCCATGCGTAAGAGTAGAGAATTGAGAAGACCAATGTCCACAGGGCCAATTGAGCTTGAATTATATCACATAATAGACTGCTGCCTTGATTTGATTCCGGTACTTCCGAAGATGCCTTAATTATAATAATATTTATAATAATAATTAAAATAATAATAATAATAATAATTAAAATAATAATAATAATAATAATAATAATAATTTCATTTTAAGCTCTGCATTACCTCCCCAAACTAACTCTTCAAAATTTATCTGTTTAAGGGGACAAAATAAAATTTGCTACCATATTCATATTCATATCTTCAAATCGTATTCAAAGTATCTTGAAACGGTACTGTATTGTTACTGTACAAAATACAGTAACTGTTACTGTGAAAATACAGTAACTGTTACTGTGAAAATACAGTAACAGTTACTGTACAAATACAGTAACTGTTACTGTGAAAATACAGTAACTGTTACTGTACAAAATACA